ATCACCACCACCACCACCACCACCACCAACGTTCCTCGCCCCTCGTATACAAACGCACTCCGATGCGTACCTCGGCCTCTCTTTCCATTCTACGTCCGGCAACTTAGTCACATCATGTTACCCGCTGCCGGCGCCGACGGCCGTGGTTCCTATCGCTCTCAGCGTCCCGTCTCGGACAAGGAGGAACTCGCAAGGGCCGCGCTTCGCTCTCTAGCCGATCCCTCTACAGCACCACCAGCACCTCTTCCTCCTCCGGGCAACGATGCGGCTGCTGCACCGCCCGCCTTTCCGGCAACGCGCCTTCCACCCCCGCTACCGTCTCAATCCCTTGCAACACAACAAGCTTCTTCTTCCGCAACCTCGTCTGCACTGTCACAACCCGATCCAGCATTCCGTTCGTCTCACGATGACTACCGCCGTCCACCTCGTTCCCAATATTCGGACCACGGCGTGCCTCTTCCTTCCGCATCGCACCACATGCTGCGACACGCCAGCCTAGGAGACGAACTCATCCAACGCAATCCCAGCTCTTCCTCCTCTCCCTCGTCCTTCTTCAACGACCAACAAATATCCGCTTCTCCCGACTCTTCCCCGCGCCTCGAAGCGGCGCCAATTCAAATGCCCAGGCACACCCATCTCCGACACAGCATCCCTGCCTCTACACAACCCTCGGCCTCGGCTCATCTGCACGAAGTCGCCCTTCGCCGCGCTTCCATCGCCATGGGCGTCGACATCGAACAAGTTAGAGACATTGTCCATCACGCCATGGACGCGCCCCACGCACGCGAGCCCCACTTTGTTCGCCAGGTCTTGGACGCCTACCGACTCGAGTCGGATCGCGCGTCCCAACCACTCGTCGTGCGCGAATCGTGGCAAGCCGAGCCACCTCGTTCAAACGCTCGCAATCACGTTGCCTATCCTTCGAGATACGCAGACCCTGGCCCAGCCTCTCGCTCCGCCTATCCTGCCTATCACGACCTCGCTCGCGGCGATTCCGTAGCGTCCGGCTCGGCGAGCGCATCCATGATGCCCATCTCCGAACACCGTCCGGAATCACCTTCGCCCTTTGCCTACGACGCGCATCCAAGATCATCCCAACCCTCTTCAGACATGGCCGCCCCGGCTGCAAGCTACTCGGTCCACCGACCCAGCCATGCGCATCTCGACGAAGCCTCTCGCCACCACCGCGCCTTTGAAGATGAGCGCTTCACCACGCACCGCTCGCGCTACCCGGCATACCCCCATCATCCGCCTCCTCTGCCTCTGCCGCAAACTCGCGCTCCCGAACGCAGAGTCAGGTCTATCGACGACTATCTCGATGCGCCTCCCCAGCTCTACCCACGTCGTCACCAACGTCGCGGCTCCATGGCAGACTACAACGGCCGCACCGCCGTGCTCACCGCCGTGCTCACCTCCGAATACGACGACGAGCGCTATCGAGATAGGCTCGCCCGGCCCAACGTTCGCCACTCCTTCCATCCGTACGCCTCGCCCTCCAGCCGTTACCTCGGCGCTTCCGCAGACGCGATCGGCATCTCGCCCCAACTTTCCCCCACCATGGGCGATGCGCCGCGCCCGTATCCGATTCATGACCACCGCTCGCCACTTCTGCGCTCGCCCGCTGGTGAATCTTCTACTTCGGTGGCCGGATCGGTGGCAGCTCTCACACCATCTCCGCTTCTCGGCGTCCCCGTCGGTACGCCAGACGATCGCAAGCGCAGCCTCGATGGTCATGCCGATGCACCCACCTCGCTCCGCAGCGCGTCGGAAGATACGGCGGCCGAGTCTACGCGAGCCGGCGTGGCCCGACTGCAGATCGACGATTCCGGCTCAAAGCCGCTTCTCAAGTCGTCTTCGGCGCGCACATCGCGCTCCTCGCTCGCATCCCATTCGTCCGCAGAGCGCCAGGTGCCCGGCACGGATCTGTCGCATTCGCAGATCATGCAGAAGCTTCAGAACAAGGTCAAGGGCAGACTCGCCGCAAAGAAGAAGGCCGCCGCCGAGAGCGCCGCAGCGTTCAGGCCTGGTGGGCACAAGGCTGCAAAGCCAAAGCGCGACGCAAAGCCCAGCGGTGCCAAGCAAGACGTCTCTGCAGAAGACACGGTCAAGGCAGAAGCTTCAAAGAGCGACAAGGTGTCTAGGGCCGGATCGACCAAGCGGACCGCTTCCAGCATCAGCACGTCCGACCGCGCCTCGTCCCCGCAGCCCAGCCGCCCCAGCGTCGAGAGCAGCAGCGCTGCCACCGCCGATACCTCGGCCACGCCGAGTGGCAACGGCATGCCCGCGCCCAAGGTGCGTCGCACCTCGGCCTCGAGCCAGCAAAAGCCATCGACGCCGCAGCCGCCTCGCCAGCCGATTGCAGCGCAGTTGTCGCCCCGACCGGCCTCCACCAAGCCCGAATGGCTCCCGGACAAGGACCAGGACAAGACACCACCGGCTTCGATCGAAGAGGCGCTGCAGGCGCTCGACTCTAAGACGGCGTCCAAGTCGCCCGCGCCCAAGTCTCCGGCGTCCAAGTCTCCGGCGCCCACCTCGGCTTCGCCCCCGGGCAAAAACTTGTCGCCTCCCACCTCGATCTCGGCTGCGCTGCTCTCGCCTACCGATTCGCCCACGCCCACCGAGGCGGCAGCCATGCATGCTCGGCGCATGTCCAGATCGCCCCTGCCTCCCGGTGCGGATGGCGCGGCGACCGTCGAGACGTCGTCCGGCCAAGCACTCCCCGGCGAGCTGCCCGGTGCGGGTCAGATGAACGCATCTTCGGCCACCAAACAGCAGACCTCCAAGGCGGGCATCGATTCGCTCATCCAGTCGGCTCAGGCCAACGATCCCACCGAAACCAACTCGGCCATTGCCTAGTCGCCTCCTTCTCCACCGCTCAAGCCGCGCGAACAATACGCCGCGCGCTTTCACGCACAGCCTTGGCGACAGCTCAGAGCCGTCTTTCGATTGGCTTTTGTTTGTTCTTGAGCTACTGCACCCGCCGCTTGGGTTCGAGACACGCTGCGCCGAGGCTAGCCTTATTTTTTCATCCTTTGTTCTGTCGTCCTAATTTTCTTCTTTTTCAGCATGTTCCAGCAATAATCTCTGCATCACGTCTATTTTCACTTCGGTCCACCAAAGAAGCGCACTGAGACAAAGGGCGGAGTCGGACTGCACGTGGCAGTGGGTTGGTGGTGTCTGGGCAGTCTTTGTGGCAAAGGTTCCCGTACAATGGGCGGCTGGTTTATGAGCGCCGAGCTTGCACTAGTCGAGAGTGGTCCGAGTCTGCGTTTCATGTGCTCGCATCGAGCCGCGTCGTCGTCAGGCGTGCAAGATTAAAAAAGAGTGACAGCAAAAGCTTCTAGCTCAGTCGCAAGCACGACGCTAGCTCAAACTGCTGGCTTTTGCACGATCGCACATCGAACAAAGTCTACAATAGCCGCCAAGTTGGTGGGCCTCGTGACCGACAGATCCGAGCCTAGATTCGCAGCGGCGTGTCGCTCGGGCGCCACTCCAGGCTCACGTCCCCAAAACCACGCCGCAACATGAACACAGGGGTCCTAGCGGCAACGCATTGGGCCCGCAGCAATTGCGCCCCTGACTATCACCCTAGCATGAGCACAGGTGGGTTTCGACGTCGATGTGCAGCCCCTGTGCCCAACTCGCGGTGGAGACCGGACATTGTTGCCCACACACGCCCATCTTCCCCACCCAACGGCACATGAACAAACAAAGTGGCGCTGGCTTCACTTGGCTGGCTGGCTGGCTGGCTGGCGTCAGAGACTCACATCGACGTGCTTGATGAACGATGCTGCGCACTAAGGATGATCTGCGAGTGCAGATCCAAGCGTATAAAGTGCCGGCCCTCTACGTCTGCTCCTCGATTCCGCTCCTGACTTTTTCCGCCTTCCCCGTTCGACCACCTCGCCCTCTTTCTCTTCTTTCTCCCTTGCCCCTATCCCCTGCTACCTTCACCCTGCCAAGCTTCACCAACAGGGCGCCATGAAGGTAATCGCGCTTGCGGCTGCGTGGGTGGCAGCGTGCGCGCAGCTCGCGCACGCCGAGATCGTCATCGACCGCATGTGGAGTACGACGTACGACTACTCCAAGGTGCAGGAACTCAGCAATCCTCAGATCAAGTTTGTCGATGGCCAAGCCCTGGCAGCCTCTGTCAACGTGACTGCCGCCGCGTCTGTCAAGTCGCAGCAGTACGATGCGATTGGCATCCAGGTCCAGGAGAACCAGCTTGCGCAGCTCGTGGACACGTTTGGCGGCGGTGTGACGGACAGTGTGGCGATCACGCTGCAGGACTTCAAGAGCAAGCACCCCAAAGACTACGACGACCTGCTCCACCTGCTCTTCTCGCAGGACGCCGAGTGGCATGCCAAGGGCGGTGTGGGTCTCAACACGGTTCGTGTTCCTCTGGGCGCGTGCGACTTTGGCGCCGCACCGTACACGTACGACGACACCGAGGACGGCTCGGAAGACCCCAAGCTGGAGCTGTTCACCATCAAAAAAAGGCACCCAAGCTGTGGCAGACGCTGCACGACATTGTCGCCATCCATCCGGGCCTCAAGATCATCTCTGCGCCCTGGAGTGCTCCCGGCTGGATGAAGGACGGTGCTGACGAGACGCAGCCGCTGTTCGGCGGCAGCCTCAAGGTGGGCATGGAGGAGGTGTACGCCAACTACCTCGTCAAGGCGGTGAGCGAGATCAAGGCGCAAGAGAAGCTCGACATCTATGCCCTCACGCTGCTCAACGAGCCGCAGATTCCCGAGCTGCAGTACCCGACCATGAAGCTCTCTGCTGCGCAAGCCATCCAGGTGGGCAAGCTGGTGCGCACCGCGCTCAACAAGCAGGGCTTTGAAAAGGTCAAGCTGCTCACCTGGGATCACAACTGGGACAACACCGACTATGCGCTGCAGGTGCTCAATGCCGATCCTACGCAGTGGGACGGTACCGCCTGGCACGGCTACGCCGGTAAGCCGAGCTCGCAAAAGATCGTCCACGATGCCTACCCGGACAAGGAGACGTACTTTACCGAGTACACCGTCATCTCGCAGTACTTTAGCGAGCCGTACAAGAACATGAAGAACACGGCGCGCAATCTGCTCATTGGGTCCATCCGCTACTATTCGCGCAGCGTCGTGCTGTGGAATCTGGTGCTGCGCAAGGACGAGGATGGCTTTACCACGCCACACCTGCCCAACGTGTGCCAGAACTGCAATGCAGCCGTGCTGCTGCTGCCGGACTCGACGGATGCGCTGGCTGCAGCCGATCCCAGCCACACCAAGACCGTCGCCGAGGCCGCTGGTGCGGCAAAGAAGGACAAGCGCCGTCGTAGGAGTCTCTGGCGCCGAGCTGACGACACCAAGCCCGACACCACCACGGAAGAGCTCAAGCCCCAGACTGGTTCTCCTGCTGTTGCTGGGGGTGGCGAAAAGGCGGAAGCGATCCAGGCCAAGGACGTTGTGGACGCCAAAAAGACAGGCACCAACAGCGTCTACGAGACCGCTTTGTTCAAGCGCTCGTCGGACTACTCGGTGCTCTCTCACCTTTCCGCGGCGGTTCGACCCACAGGTGCATCCAAGGAGTACTCGAAGCGCATTGGAGTGAGCAGCACCGACGAGATCACCGAGCTCGGTGGGCGACTGCTCGCCCAGGCTTTCCGTCAGGATGGTGTCAAGCCGGGCGTGTCGCGATTCTCGCTCATCCTGCTCAACCAGAACGACCACTACGAGACGGACGTGTGGGAAAACGCCACCGCCGTCATCGGCTTCCGCGGCCAGATCGCTAATGTCACGACGCTGCCTGGTCTCTACACGCTCTCGTGGGAGGCACCTACCGTCGACACCTCGGCTGCGGCCAAGGCCCCGCTTCCCGCCAAGGCTGATGCACCCGCCGCAGATGCAAAGGCCGCCTCCTAGGCTTTCATCCTATTTTGATGCCGCTTTTCTAGTTTCGATATCGACACGTGTCGCTCTGTGTTGGCTCTGTGTGGTGCTTCCACATGAAAAAAAGAAGATCAGCTGTGTGTTTTCATACAGGGGCTTTGGTGGTTGACCCAGACGCTGATCCTGATTAGCACATTGCCCTCTAGCAAGCGCTGGGTCAACTGAGAACCCTCATCGGCAGCCTCTGTGTGAGCCTCTGAGGTAGTCAGCGACGTCTCAAGTTTGTCCGGTGTGACCAGACGTGCGTGTCTGGACTGAGCTTTCCAGCCCGAGTTGATCTGCCACCGCGCTGGTTCGACATCTGCCTCTCTGTCGTCCATCATCTCAATCACGCGTGATCCGCGCGCCAACAGCATCCAAGGCTGTTATTGAGTCACCCAGCTTGTATCTTCCCTTGTCGCTCATCACTGCGACGGACCGAGGCCACTGGAGCTCAAGCACCTAACGGATCTTGGCCTGCAAATCACAGACTCTTGCACAAGCTGGCTCAGGGTGCGGATCCCATAACGGAAAGAGTTGGAACCTGTGTGGCTACCGCAGAGGGTCGCTCAAAGCGGACCCGGACCAGCGTCGACTCAAGCCAAGCCTCTGTCTGTATCACGCTCCGGGGCAGATACGCACGCACAGGGCAGCCTTTTCCACAGTGGCCCGCCCCACCCTTCGAGGCGCGGATGTGTGAGACAGCGCCCGAAAATGGGAGAAAAGGGGAAAAAGGAGAGAAAAAAAAAATGGAAAATGCAGGCTGACGTCAAACGGAGGATGCAGCGTGAGTCGCCGCTTTTGTGGGGGATTCGGGTACCTTTTGCGGAGGGGAGTCGCAGTAGCCGCGCGCCAAATTTAGCAGCCGCTCCTCCGCCAGCGCTCGCCGCTCGCCAAGGCTGACAGATGGAGCGGCGGCGCATCATCGTCGTCATGCTGCTCATCAGCAGCGCTTTATTTTTAGGCGAGGCTGAACCCCTCTCCCCCCGCGCTGCTGTGAGGGCGGGGCTGAGTCGAGTGTAGCCCTGCGCTGCGTAAGCGTGCGAGTTTGCTATATATGTCTGCCTACCTTTGCGCAATGGACCCTGGATCTGCCTCACCACTCCTGCATCTCTTCTGCAACCCACTCTCGACACTTGACCCCCACCTCCTGCTTGAGCATCCACAATGAAGTTTACATCGGCCTCGATCGTAGTGGTTGCGTCGGTGCTGGCGAGCGTATCTGCTACGCCGCTGGCGTTCAACGCAGACGACGATACGATCTCGGTGCCGATCCAGGTTCCGTTTTCATCGACGCCGCGCGTGCTGACGCTTCCCAACTGGTTCCACTCTTCGGGCGACGACGGTGACATCTGCCCTCAGCTGCCCGTGCAGTGCGTTCGGGACGGCAAGGTCGTCGGCGATTTGGGCCCTCAGGACTTCTGTCGCCAGGGTGTGTCGTGCAAGATGTGCCATCCCAAGAAGAAGTCGCTCGACTGCAACACCAAGTACATCAAGGAGTGTGCCACCCAGTGCCAAGCCCGTGGTCCTCTGGGCGGCAAACTCGCCGCGGTCCAAGATGCCATTGAGCGAGCAAGCCATGCTGTTGGTGGCGATGACGACGAGGGCGACATCTGCCCCGACATGAAGGTCTCCTGCCGCAACGCAGATGGCAAGACCGTAGGCTCGATCGGCAAGAAGCCCTTCTGCAGGGATGGACTGACGTGCGGACAGTGCCACCAGACGGAAAACTCGGTCGAGTGCAACGCCAAGTTCATCAAGGACTGCAAGGCACAGTGCGAGGCCACCGGCCCGCTCGGCGGCACCAACGTCTTTGTCCACCTCTACTAGCCCCTTCGCTTCTCACCTAGCATTCTCAGTATCCTTCGCATGCAGGCGTGAGGCGAGTTGCGATCCTCCCCATCCTCCCTTGTCTCTCCTCACCACCCTGGCAATTCCAGTCGCTCGCAATTCCCGTCGTGTCGCATGCACAGCAGAAGCTCGTGCCGATTGTCCGCACTGTCTCCCGCGTTTCTCACAACCACCTTGCGTTCCCTTCGTTCACCTCTACCAAGCACAGCAGTCAAATACCTGTCCATGAACACAATCACCTTGCTTGCGATTGTTGCGTGAATCAGAATCTCGCCCGGCCCGCCAGCAGGTCACGGTAGCGCTGAGCACGGTCCGGGTCGAGTTCGACGAGTCGTTCGAGCCGATGCTGGGCGCTTGCGCGGTGCTCGTCTGCATGCGCCGGGTCGAGCTGCGCGAGCAGCGTGTGCAGGTGCGCGAGGCTCATGGCGCACCACTTGCTGTCCGGCTCGAGCTCGTGCAGCTCGTCGATGGCGCGCACCTCGTCCCCCAACTTGGCCCGTAGCCTCGATCTGTCCTCTCGCGACGGTGTGGTGAGGCGATCGATAAGCCAGCGATGGTAGAACCACACGCTCTGATCCGCCGGATCCGTATACATGGCCTGCTGCACCAGCTCGAGCTCCTTGTCGAGACGCTCCTCCTCCTGCGCTGGCGTGAGCCTCTGCGCCACCCACACGCACGGCAGCAGCTGCGAGCGCAGATGCCATGCCGAAAAGTTGGAAAAGTTGCGCTCGATCTGGCGCAGCGCATACGCCAGCTCCGTCTCGGCCAGCCGCATGAGCTCCTTCTTGACGTCCTTCGCCGCATCCCTTTCCGCCGCCACGATGGTCGGATGCGTGAGCAGTGCTGTGAGCGACGCGTGCGATGATTCCACGCCGGCGAGCGCGTCGCACTGGGCGGACGAGACGACGGCAAGCGCGAGGTGGTCGATGATCGCACGCCGACAGTTCCAGCCGTGAAAGTTGCGTGCGTCGAGCTCGAGCATCCTTTCCACCAGCCGCAGCTCCCGTCGCCACGCCCACTGTGCATCGGCCGACAGCGCGGGATAGTGGCGCAGACACCACATGCGGTGGTTCCAGATCCAGTACACCTTGGGATGCGCACGCAGCGCATGCTCCGTGAGGCTCAAATCGTCGTCCAGCAGCTGTCGGTTGCGCACCAATCTCGCCTCGTCAGCGTCGGTGCTAGATTGCGCAGCCTCGGTTCGCAGCGCACCAAACACGTCTGGCGTGGCACTTGGCGCATCGTCGTCAGCGGGCTGCGNCTCGCCTCGTCAGCGTCGGTGCTAGATTGCGCAGCCTCGGTTCGCAGCGCACCAAACACGTCTGGCGTGGCACTTGGCGCATCGTCGTCAGCGGGCTGCGTGAAGGTGTGCAGCAGAATGTCGCGGCGATAGTTCCACACCGTATACAGCTCCGGATTGAGCGTGAGGAGCGTGGTGGTGTGGGCGAGCGCCGTGGCGTCCTTGCGCGATTGCTGGCGGTGCTCGAAGAAGGTGCGCTCGATGTCGAGGTAGGCGCGCAGCTTGGCGGCATCCTTGGCGGCGCGTGCGGCGCGTGCCTCGGCGGTGGTGGCCGTCTTGGGCGTGCGTTTGACGCCGTGCATGCCGAGCAGTTGGTCCCAAGTTGAGCAGGAGGGAGAGGAGGGATTGCAACTCGTGGGCGAGAGTGAGAGAGCCATGCACGCGGCCTTGTGTCCCCGAAAGCCGAGCTTTTCCCCCCCCCCCCGGTTCAATTCAGCACACGAAAGCCGAGGTGAAAAGTGGAGGAGAGCGACTACCACCATCATCTTGACGATCGAGGCGCTGATCAGCATGCACACCATGCTGGGCTCCGTCGGGCTGCGTTTCGCCTGCACGCGCGCCGCACCTGCGTGGCGCCCTGCCCTGCCACTGGCGCGTCCAGTCCTTTGCCTCCTATCGACACGCACGCTTTCCATGCACACCAGCCTGCCCCCTCGTAGCGCGACACAGCGCGGCATCTCGTCGAGCGCAGTGCATCTGCTGGGCACGAGCAGGGCGTCAACACTGGGTCGAAGCGTGAACCTGCGAGGATTTGCATCAACATCCTCCCGCAACGATTCGGCCTCACCCCCACCATCGCCACCGTCGGGCACAAACCAAGACAAAGCGAAGCCGGCGCTGTCCGAGGATCTCTTGACGCTGCCCAACGTGCTGACCATGTTGCGGCTGGCGCTGACGCCGTACATAGGGTATCTTGTTGCGACGCACCAGTTTGCGCCCGCATGTGTGCTGCTCTTCGTCGCGTCGATCACGGATGTGCTCGACGGCTGGCTCGCACGGCGCACGGGCAAGTACACGGTGTTTGGCAGCATTGCCGATCCGGCGGCGGACAAGGCGCTGGTGACCACGATGGTCGTATCGCTCGCACTCTCCGGTATGCTGCCCTGGCCCATCGCCACGGTGATCCTGGGAAGAGATGTGGCGCTGGTGGCATCAGCGTTTGTCATTCGATACCGCACCCTGCAGCCGCCCAAGACGCTGCAGCGCTACTTTAACCCGCGTCTGCCGTCGGCGAGCGTGACGCCGACGCAGATCAGCAAGTACAACACCTTCCTCCAGCTGCTCCTGCTCGGCATCCTTACAATGTACCCGCTGCTGTACCCCAACTCACCACCCCCGCCGCTAGTGCCAACAAAACAGGAGGACGACTCGACCAAGCGGCTCGTCGACCGCGCAGTGGCAGCGCTCATGTGGATCACAGCTGCCACCACCGTCTGGTCGGGCCTGGGATACATCGGTGGCGCAGGCGCCCGCAAGGTGCTAGCCCAACGTGCACCGAGCCTGCTCGCGCGCAACAAGCCTCCTCCCAAACCGTAATCGAACATTGTTGCGATGTAAAATGCATACAGATTCGAGCAGTGTGTGTGTGTGTGTGTGTAAAAGTACAA